TATATATATATAATGTACCAATGTAACTTTCTATGAAAGGCACTAGGCTGGAAAGCGCCTGCCTACAGAAAATGAAGTAGACTGTCTCAGGTCTCCTACAGTGCACCATCGTGTCACAGGCAGGCGTCTAAGAAACCAAAAATCCCTCGGTGTTATTATTATTAATTACTCACACACAATCAAGATATAATAAAATTTTGCAAGAAAATGTCTATTGTGTTCCTCTAAAAAGTTGTTTTTAGAACATTGCCCACAGTTCGACCAAATTCTTAATTTTTAACAATGGAGTAGAAAGGTACAACACCCAGCTCTAGTTTAAATGATTGCATGATTTACATATTAATTGCGTATTAATTAATGATGTTAATTTATCCCCTGAACTGCATGATTTGAGAATTTACTCAGCCAATAAACGTGAACTAATGACAAGGAAACGCAAATTAATGATCTATGCTAGTCTGCATGGATAGCAATACATGAGATGTCCAGAGTTATGTTTTCAGTACTTCCCACTTGTGTTTTTGCAACTTTCGGATAGACGCTTCTGAGAAAATAGGTGTCCCGAAAAAAAGTGTTTTAGCCTCATTGAACCAAGGAGACTGATATGTCATATTCATTTCCAACCAGGCCAAATAAAAGACTAAGCCTAATTTTTGTTCTCTTTTTCGCCGAAACTCTAGTATAGGAAATAAGTAAAACCAAGTCGGTTTCTCGTTAAGTGATTACCCCCTATGGCTAATTAAATCGTACTGCTTTTACGCCATTTCGAAGCGGGTAGTGGAGTAGGATTATATGGATTCACGAAACTGCTAAAGGTTCACGTGTGATATGGCTATCTTGAGTGCAGATGCTGTTACTTTACCATATACATCGGAAATCTTCTTACTTGAATTCTCTCGCGCAAAAGCGGAATATTTTCCACTCGGACACCGCCTCCGGGCATAATAATTAGTCCATGAGCGCAGGCTGCGCTACAGAGGTCAGCTAATGTGGATATACCTGCAAAGTAATACGAAATAGATAGAGCAGTTAGGATTGCTAAAAGAAAATCAGAATAGTTCTCCGAGTCTGCAAACTATTCCGACAAACCTGGGTCTTCATTTGAAAATAAAGAGTTTCCGTCGATAGGGTCAAAAGTCTCAATGGTCACGATTGTTTGCTAAATACATATATATTGTTAGCTAATGTGTTTTCCCTTGGAGTCTTTCATATCGAGTTCAAATTTCCATCATAAATTGCTTTACGCAAGTTAACCAAGCTAAATCGTTTCTATTAACCATTTGCACAGGAACTACTTGTCACATAATTCAAAAGTTGAACATTCATCCACTGTTTCCGTGTAACACTAATCCGGTAAATGCAAAAATTTAGAACTACTGATACGGAAAATCGAGCTATAAAAGTTTTACCAGCAACGACGTCTTTTTCACGACCAGATGTGAGCAGTCTGTCACAGCCAACTTGCTTGACTTTTGCCAGAGACTCTAAAAGAGGTTCCTTGCAATAGTCGAATGCTCTGGAATAGAATGCTGACACATAAGTCACATTGCTAAGAGAAGCTATGACGATGCTGTACGAGGTCAGTCAAATATTACATGATTATGTGAAATCAGTCAATTTACCTGTGGAAAGTGACAGGAAGTTCTCCGCACACCGCACGTAATTGAAGACAAGCATCAACATCTATCGCACCATCCTTCTTCAAGGCGCCTGTGAAGTAACCAAAATGTACTTTTACACATTATAATGCCGAATGTAAAACCGAAGAGTAAATGGCCAGACATAAGTATAGTCTAAGAATAATGGGTTTTACCTTAGCACTGCCGTTAAGCAAAATATGTCTACTTTTCTGAGCATAAATTGCCATATACCCCAAGTTCAGTGAGCAAATATCACCACTGCACTATCACGCAGATAAATATCAACACCTACGCAAATATCTCCAGTGTAAACTAGATTATTGTCGAAGTAATTGATGCAGAGGTAATTTACCTATAACAAATCCATCCGCTCCAGCTTCCTTAAGGGCATTAATATCATCCTTCATGAGAGCCACCTCCTCCGATGAATAGACGAAGCCTCCAGCCCTACATCGGATCAAACACATTATGGGCACTGGTTGATCTTTCAGGATAAGCTTTACAGCCTGCATAAGCCAATTTTGATGGAAAACGAAAGTTGCAGCTTCGCGTTCATATTGGATAGCACAAATTCGGCTCTTTGAGAGGTCCAAATAAAGACGACGAGTACAAAAACACTCGAAATCATAAAATGTACAGTGAATGGATCAAAAAATACCGTTCCCGTTAATTCATTTCGGCATAACATTTTGCTACTAGTTACCCGTCGAGTATACCTATTTAGATGTTTATTGTTCAAAATGTTCATGAACATTTTATACGCTGCCGAGTAAGTGTTAGTTTATAAATATAAAACAGCAAGACATGCAACGTACACATATTCATCTAAGAATTGGTTTTTATCTGATATGGCTGACCGCAAATATATCTGGTATCATACCTCCTACACCGTGTTGTGTCACATAATTGGTAAACAGCCAACGGCTTTGTAATCAGGGACAAAATATTAATTCGCTGCGGTATTTTTTTGTAACGATAATCATTTCTTAACTCATTGTCCTCAAAACGGTAACACCCCTACAAAAAATTACCCAAACGTCCCTCTTCACATATATGTCAAAGCCGCCAAAGTAAACAACCCCTACAAATACGGAACGCAATCAGTATATTGTAAAATCGTATGTAATCGTATGTAAAAGATCATTATCGTTATCGTCACTATTACGGGTGCAGAATTTTGATATCAAAACATTAAAGGGCCATTAAAGCAAAATTTTGATTAGTTATTTGGTTTCATATTTATGTGTTATTACTACATAACGGTCGATTTTCATTCATTTAACTTAAATATCCTAGGTAACTACCTTAAGTAAACCCGTTGTAGGGGTCAGCCCACCCTCGCCTAAAGCGCTGCATAACTCAAGTCTTCGAGCGCCACCGGTGACGGCGTTTAATGCCGAATCAACACAATCGACACAAACCTCCAATATAACTGAATGCCTTGACGTTTCTGAGAACATTGCTTCTTATTTATTAAGTGATCTTCTGTAAGTGCTCAGCCAAGGCTGCCAGCGTAATTTGAATGCCAGATGTTTGATTCTGAAAATATTTATTACTAAATCTAGTCTTTACTTGCAATTTGCTTAAAATACATTAAATGAAGAAGTTCTCACCAATTGTTCACTTTATCCCTTGCTTGAGATATGTTTTCGTTGAAACAATGTTTATTTTCACTCAAACTAGCTCTATTGCTCAATTTATAATTACTGAAATACATTCCATATTTGCTCTCCTCACGACAAATTGGTCTTTTTATTTAAAATGAAAATTGAATATATTTGCATATGAGATACATTGTGGATGACAAAATGAGGTTGTTCTTTGTTAGATCATCTGGAATGAAACGATGTAAAATGTATAAGACATTTATACTTGTTTAACATGTATGATAGAAATATATGCAAACACAAAATATAAAAGTAACTAGTAGTGGGTAGTAGGTAGTAGCAAATCTTTAAGCTTTGGTATAAAATACATAGCGCCTCGTCCCGAATTATCTTTGCATAAGAAGTTTTATCACGGCGCTGAGAATAAACGGAACATAAGGACCATTCGGCCAAAGTTTCATTACCAATAATAATAATAATAAAACGACAACAAAGGTTCCCACTATACCTGTGGTTATGCGCACCAAGTAAAACTGTGGGCCTCTTCTGGAAGAATTCATTTCTGAAATAGCTGGAACAATGTCACTGTGTGTTACCTTATGCTGGGGCTCACGCTCAAGGCTCCGGGCCTGCTGAATGAACGATAAACAGATTCGATCAGCTGAATAGTCGGCCACTTGAATAATGTGGCTTGCTCCTACCAGATGGCGCTTTGTCACGCGGTGTATTTTGTAATATGCGAAGTATTATTGTACCAAACAGACATTTAACTTTTTTTCAGCATTCGAATCGGAACCAACATCAGCTGTTATAAATACCTAATTTCCGTTACCACGTCAATTTCAAACTAAACAAAGTGTGGGCTAACAACCTACCATAGTTAGGAAGTTATCACCACATAAGCATCCTACCGGGATCAGGCCCATTCAAATTTCGGTCACTTTTCCAGATCGAAAGACTTCGTCTACACAACAAATCTACGGTTTTCTTTGAAAGAGGCACGCCACCATTATAGAATGAGGGGCTGTTAATTTTAATAAAAATTTCTCGCGCCAACGCGTCTTATGGGAAACTGAAAATTTGTTTTTATACATTATCTGACAAATATTCACATTCAATTTTGGTGCCACAGTTTAAATTTATTTGTGTTAGTGTTTGTGATGAATTATTGGCATCCTCCGTATAATATCATGTCGCAATATAATATAAAATGGCTAATAATGCCACTTTATATTATATTTACGTAACTATGTAAATTATATTATACATTTTCAACATATCGTTCGTACCTCGATATGACCTCATCAGAATTTTCGCGAACTGTAAGATAAATGAAAACCTTAAGCACAAATAGCTTTAACGCACAAAGTGCAAGCAGTAGCGAAGGAGAATACAAAAATGCGGTCCAGACGTAAAACCGTCATCTCTGGGCAAGCATGGGTACTGTAGCACAATATTTTAGTCGAAATTAAATGAACTTTCGAGACGGATAAAGAATATCAATAGCGTTTACTATTAAGCTAGTTTCTAGCTAGCGCATCTGTAAGAAACAGACATAATATGGTTTTATTTTGTATGACACAATTGAATCAAACGATTCAGTTTCTCTAACGAGATGTCACTAGTAAACTTCGCGTACGTATTTACAATCTCACATTATTTTCCAAATTGAACACTGTAAATTTTTCATGAAGCTTACTTTTTCATCACACAGTTACTCTTGTTTTCATATAACAAAAACCTTTCCGTTACCATAACTTGCTTTCCTTCTTGGACATTAAGAAACTGGACATGTAAACCAGGTTGCAAATGTAAAGGGACTTCTTCTTTGATTTTTATTCCGCTTTAGTACGCGTAACTACAGTGCAATCAATTGCTACAAAGTACAACGTATAGCATTTAGCTGAACTGTATATTTGTGCTATTCCTTTCATTACCATAAAACGTTTACTGCAAAAACTTTTCATTAAGAATTATTAATTTATTATTTGTATGATACAACATTCATTTTGCTTCACTGCAAACCCATTTCGACTGGCTACGTTATTTTCTTCCGATTTGACCCCAGTCCGTCTTCTTGATATCGGTAACCGTCTGCTGAAGTGGACGTTCGAATAGTTCATCAATGTCGTTCTCTTCCCGTAATATGAAGAAATAGATCATAAAGATGCTGAGCGAAACGACTATCGAATACGGTTGAGCATTCGGAATATTTTGAACGCTATCTGGAACCCTGTAAAAATGTATCATTCAGTCACAAATGCACTTTGAAAAGTAAGACTGTATTAATCGAAACACTGAACTTAGCTATGTTTTTTTTTCCTTTGACAAGTTCACGACGAAATCGAGTCGAACTAACTTAAGTGCCTCGGTACTAGAATTATTTTCAACCTTTTTTATTGTTTGTGGCCTTGCATTACAATGATCAACACCATGAAAACAGTTAGTACCTACACAACTTTTTTTGTACGATCGATTCCTGTGCCAGGAGTAGGATAGAACATGTCACACTACAATGTAACACAGGACGCTTAGATAAGCGAGCACCCCTGGGAAGCTGTCAGATAAGATTAGCCACACCACGGTTCGGGAAGCAAGGACGAAACTACGGATCTAGGGTTTGATACACGAGACTACGTCTGAGCTTACCTGTTAACAGCAAAAGGACAGCAGAGTATAATCCAGAAAAACACCGCCAAAGATTGTGCATAGGTCAGAAGACCTACTACGATACTGTTACTCACCGTAATGTTTGACTGGCCTTCCATTTGCTAGCTTTTGATTTCGAGTATACGATAGGCTCATGCTGTCCGACCGGCCTGCTTTTGCATGTCCTATATGGTGGAATTAATCGAAAATGTGTTAAAGGTCTAACAGAGGCAAATAACTGCCACAACATCTCTTTAATTATTATAGGATGCACGCAAACTGGATAACTTAAAGGCCTTAGGAATAATACGGAACGTCAAATTACGCTCATGAGTTCTATTTTGAACCTTCTTGTTTTATATTTATTGTTCCGACTTTTACTGTTACTCAACGGAACGTCTCCAATTGAGCTACTGCAGCGTCAATTACCTACTGGAGCTAATATATTGGCAATCCGTTAGCAATTTACGGCAACTTTCAACGAGTTGTTAGGAAGTTAAGTGAGAAATGGTTTCCTTACTAACCCACTGAATCCCATAACTTAATTTACGAAGAAGAAAGTATACATATTTTGAAGACCACAAATGTAAATGGGGGACTGCTATGATATGTGTTATAGTGTATAATCAAGTAGGATGTATAAACATCCTACTTGATTTCTGGACTTCAACAGTTTGTTGAATTCTGCAACAAGTAACTGAAAAAGAACGAATCCACTGTTTTTAGTAAATAGACAGTAATCTTATTTTAATTTAATTCGCGCCTAAGTGCAGCGGCTTTGAAAGGTTATGTTGAACTTGTCACTTTACTTCATCACCAATATTGTCTGACAAATTTCTAGAAGACGGTATAAAGCTTTGATGATTTGAGATTATTATAAATTAATCTTAAGTTAACTTTTGTATCGAAATAATGCTTCACAGAAACTGTACCTATTGTAGACAGAGCCGAATAGGCATTCGAACCAACCAAATTTAATTACAGAGTAAGCTGATATTAGGGACTTTATAAATTCATATACTGTCCCTGAGTTGTAGCTACAGTCCCAACTCGTACCCCTCAAGTATGCGCTTTTTTCACTTGTTGGTAGCTTGGTAAATCGCTTCAATGTTCTATGTTGTTACTCTTTATTAACGACGGCAGCAGAAGTCGAGAGCAAGATGAATTTTACTGATGGACTTCAGACAAATACTGAAAGAAGAATGTGAGTAGAGGTACTGGTTCTGAAACGTGTACACATAATGTTAGCATGAAATATGCTATAGTCTATATAGCTTTTTATCGTATGCGTGCGTGAAAACCATTGCAGCATCCATCATCAACATGGCCTACTAGGTAAATCGAAAAAGCCAAAGGTACATTTCTCTATTCTATTTAAGTTTTTACCATAAGTAAAGAACAATAGTTCCACGAAGGAATATAACCTTTCATAAAATAAGAGGCCGAAAAACGTTAATAATACACGACACAGTATTTTCTTTTTCTGTACGTTAATCACAGTAATATAGTCATCATTACGTATTATTAAGAACAGACGCATTATTAGGAATGACTTTATTCGCTTATTCGCAAAATGCTAATATTTTTTTTCCGTAGACACAGTG